GCGGCGCCCAGCAGGGCGCTTATTTGGTTAAGATCCGGAGATAGGCAATACCGGACTGTCACCCATCTCGTATGAGGAATCGATTGCCTACGAGCTACGCCGTGCTAGGAGTATGTACGCATGAAATTCGAAATTTTTTGTTCACTCCCAATTTTCGATTGGTAGCACTGTGAGGTCCGAGAAAAATTTACGCGAAATCCAATTCGTCATTATCTCTCACAATCGTTCGGGACGACGGGAACGATTACGATCGTACGATATCACATGAGCCCAGCGGTGAGTTTTATTCTTAGTATAAAGGCCAACCGTGATTACCATCGTACTTAATTATCATTTGGATACGGATGCGCATTGTTCCGCGTGATTCGGGCAAAGAACACGTGCAGAGTCTTTCACGTAAGAAGAGTGACCGAGGACTGTTTTGAAAAGGTCTACAATACGAAATCACTCTTATTCATAACAGACTACCCGCTCGCCAGGTGCGGTCTTGTCTGCTGTATGGATACTGTGGAGATTCATTTGAATGAAGGTGGTGGTTACGTAAAAAAAAAAGAAATAGACTGCCATAAGTGTCACAGTGAGCGCACGTAGTTAGGCCATTGTCAGTGGTTAAAATCCTCGAATAATTCCACGGTCCGATGAAACGGCTTTCTTCGTAAAATTTATCCGTAAAATGTGCCCCGGCGGGTTCATCGGAGCGTGTTACCTTCTCGTAACTTCTTTTCTATGCTGGAAGCTTCGTTGGACGAGCTCAATCGATAATCGATCGAACGCGTCGACGTTCTGTCGATCGGCAAATCTCGAATCGGACTCGATCGAGTGCTGCTCTGGCGCGGCTCACGATCTTGGACCTGCAGAGGAAGAAAAGGGACGGTCCAGGATTGAAGAGAGCGGGATAACAAAGAGAGAGAGAGGGAGGATATAAATAAAACAGTGCAATCAAAGGAAACCAAACGGAGATTGGATCGGGCATTGGAGTGGCGGATGATAATCGTGTGAATAAGACGTCGGAATGTCGGGTGTCCGTACGTATTTCATGTACACGCATATAAGCGTGCTCCTCGCAAAGGGCGGCCGATGGTAGAGAAATAAGAGGAACTGTGTGACAGCGTGTAATCTCCGAGCGGAGGGCGAAATAACAGGTTCCCTTTCTCGTCCATCTTTGAGCCGCTCTCTTCCAGGGGAAGTCCTTGCCGCTCCTGTCCACCTTTTAAACGCTGAACAAAGTCCAACCGGATATCGCACTTTTGATGACTCGTATATCCATGCCTTAAAAAAAAAAAAAAAAATTCATATATGGTAAATCACTCCAAGTATAAGATCCAACTACCACCTGATCCGATGGCTATTTCTCGATAATATCCAATCCCGTCCTAATTACGTCACAAGGATCTCAGCTCACAAAATGATCCTTGGTATCGTTTAAGATTGATGCTTGATAGGACCACTCTGTAGAGTAATACGGATATATACGTATACAATAGATTTTGATTATTCGCAATGTCTTGGGATCGAAATGCGTCTGGCCAACGATGAGAGTTAATGATGATATCGTGGCGAAGCGAACCAGATAAATACCGAGAAATCAATCACTATATCGATGGGTGGTTTGATAGCGGTACATCGATCGAATCTACCTTTGACTGGTCGGTATTGAAATCATAATAATAACTTCGACTGTTATTATTATATTGAGAGTAGGATGGAGACGTCTTCATTCCACGTGATACAAAGTGGCTCCTTACCAGTTCAGGTACCTACCTACCTACCCAGCTAGTACACGTAGGTAGTACTGAAGTTTTACTAGCATGTCACGTTGCGCCAGACTTCCCATAGACTTATCAGGTAGACACTGCTACGTGGTAAAGGATCATGCCGAGTGGACGAAACTAACCAATGGCTATGTAGACACTGGCTTGGTCCAATCTGAAGGACGATTAACAGATATTACAGCAGCATCCTCGTGGTCGTAATAAAAGGAAGAATCACCACGTGGATAGTACAATGTCTCGGTGAGGTTGCTTAGTCATGTCACCGATCGAGGATCGGGATCAAACCAGTATCTACCCTGGTAGCATAAATGGTGGCTGAATGACGTTATGATATTCTACGCCTAATTAAATTTCTATTGTACCTCCGAACCATCTTTTCCAGCGTAACATGTGCTTCTGTAGAAATAATTTTTTTTCTTCAGGCATTCTTACAAAAATCGATTAGTATAATTTGCTTGAATTTTTGAAAAGACGAATCTTTTAAGGATTCCTTTGTTACCCTACATAAGACTCGACAATGTGTAGGATTATTTTTTTGACTTCGCAAATGAAGGTCTCCGCGGTGGTTCTTCGTCAAGGATTTCGCTGCCTCACTTACGCCCCTGCCAGTCCCGTTCGCGGCTACGTTCGTGTACGTCCTCGTAACATTATAACGTGTAATCAGCGAACTTGGCTGACATTACAAACAGCGCCGCGTCACGCGAACGAGTTAGCACCAGCGAGAAAGGAGTACCGAGGAAGCGAGTGAGAGCTCGTAAGTGACCGCAGAGAGAAAGAGGGACGGACGAGGGCCGAGGAGAAGGGAGCGAACGTATATTTTGGCGGACTAAGGTGTAATCTTCGGGAATGATAGAGAGGCTGCACCGTCGGAGAAGAGGTCTGCCGAGGAGATGAGCCAAAGAAGGGAACCAGAATGAAGATTAAGAAGAAGAAAGATCCTCTTGGTTAGCTAACGGGGTGGGGATCTCCGGCAGATCGCGGATTGAGTCATTATGCTCCATCGCAAGAGAGACCACAGGCCACGATGCGCCTCAGCATCGGCTTGTGAAAGCAAACCGAACCGCGATTCGACATATGCATGCACGGACGTATATATACGGGATCCAAGAATTCTGTACGATTCTTCGTTAATTCTGGCTTCGAGTTATTGGGACTTGTAGATATTCACCTGGTTCAGGTTAGGTTCTTTGGATATGGGGTATAAGAGTATGTTTCAGAAAGATGACCGTAGAAATTCCTATAACGAACGATTGGATGGTGTCATTTTTTCTAGGTAGGAAGTATTGGACACGATCGTTGGGACATTGTCGTTGTCACGTTCGGACGCCTAAGGTATCCAGTTGGACGTGGCACCGGTTTAACTAATTCGGGACATTGTAACCCAATGACAAACGGACAGCGGTACCATAATATTATGACACGATGCGAGCCATTGACGGGCACTGACGCCATTACGAGATTAGGCTGCCACCGGATTTTATCTCGACGACCAAAGCCTCCATAAGCTAAGAGGATGACACGTCCTTCGACCGATAGAGAAGCGAAAGATAGCCACGAGAGTCCTCTAGAAAAACAAACACGCTATGATAATGAGAGAGATCCCTTTGGGGACCTCGATCGGACCTGTTACCTGACTACCGGACTGGCGCAACAGGAATTTTCTGACGACTCACTTATCCCTCTATTCCTTATTTACTTCTTTTTTCTCTCTTACCGGAGAATTCTTTTAGACTGACCGACTTTACTACCTCCTGGGAAAGTCTGTCAGTATGGTTTTCAGGGATCGCGATATCCAGACCCTTCTTTCTCGCATGTGCCAATTGACGAATTTACGAGAGTTCTCCTGGCAGACATTTGCCTCTTCGACGTGTACGGTCGGTGGCGAGGGGGGGACGTGGTAGAACGACAAAGGGAGTCGAGGTGGAATACAAGAAGAGACGTAAAGGCAGTTCTCGTTGTTCCGCGAGTTCATCGGAACGAACGAAGCGGTTGAAGCCGCCTGTCTGTCCGTCGGACGGTGAGTCCACTCGACTCCAGGCGAATTCAATGTCCATGCAAAGCAAACGGCGGCCTCAACGGCTGTCAATTATCCGTTATATACGGCCCGGGTCCTCAAACCCATCCTTAACGACTCCTCAAACCGAATACCCTTAGCCTCGAAAGCGGGATCGCGATCCGGGGCCCTTCCTTCGTTCGACATTGACGATCGAGGGTTCACAGGGAGGCAGGGGGGGGAAGGGCCCGATGCGTTTCCGGGAATCGTTTGGTATTCGGCGACCAAGGCGGGCGCCCTCGGCCATTTTTTCCTGGTGCACAACCGCCCTTGGAATAATGTGTCAGAATTGCAAATGTGCTGAAAGTCTCGCTGTAGCGATGGGCGACAAAGGAAATGCCGCGACGAGAGACATTTTTGCCGCGTTTCGTGATACTTTAGGCACCAGAATTCTCTACGAGCTTTGGATATTTCCGATACCTTCTTTTTATATTCCGTATCGGAACAGAGATCGCCATCTTCTCGGAGAGTTACCAAATGTCTAAGAATTCACGTTCAAAACTCTTTAATAATATGTAACTTGGAGATATAAGATTTTTCGCACATTCTACAGTATTTAAGGTTAGGGAACTAGACCCCTTAATTTTACAATCGTACCGCTAACCAGATATTTAGGATCTTTCGAACTATGGACCCTACAGGGCCAATAGGACACGATAACGAGGAAGTGGGTGCCAGGAATGGGTTGGCGAGGACAGCTCGCTCGTAAACGCCAACACGTAATAATAATAATGAGAGGCTCCTCCAGGATATAATGACCAGTCGACTAGTAGAGCGCGGGCTCAACTCGTTATTTCCCTCCGTCGGCCAGACGTCGCAAATCAAATCTAAACCCGCCACGAACTCACTCACCGTATTATGTTGACCGTAAAGGTTGCCGGGAAGAAATAGACCTCGGAATATCCAATGATCCTGGAGTTTCTTCTGGTATTCCTTATATGCTTTTCCACCTACGTCCTCACTGCCTTGCGTACATAGAATCGACGGTCAGAACTACCATAGAAGGTATCCTCCTCGTGGAAACGTTACACAAACAATTTTTCTTCCCTCGTCAGAATTGGTAACACTGGCAGTACCGGCAGCGCCGCCCGTGGACGCTTCGGGCATCACCCGTCTCGCGACTGTCATTTTCATGAGTAACGTCGAGCGACTTATATCGTAGAGTGCGCCGTGATACACGCTCGTACGTTTATGGCGATACTATACTATACGAGAGTGCATACTATAGCATACCAGTACCTACCATGCACGTGGGAGGATAATCTGTCGAGGAACCGTCGCGAGTATAATAGTTTATTAACCGAGCGTTGCGTGGAACGTGGAAGACGCAGGGTGCCCCCTCTCGTATCCCATCGAACTTCTTCGATACAACGGATCTTTAATTACGCTGATATCACGGTAATTAAGCCGATCAATGCGTGCCATTGTGATGCCGGCATGGCTCACACTCCTCCGGCTCGTGGGCCGCACAAAAGCACCTTGGAAAGTACCAGTCAGCCTTCGAGAAAAACCGAAAGGGCATAAACGCCCCTCGCTGTTTCTTCCTTCTCTCTTACTTTCATTCTTATTGCTTCTCTTATTTTTCTAATCCTCTCGCTCGCTCTCGTTATTCAGTCCCTCTCGATTCAATGGATTCTCTATGGTACGTCTGTACTTATTATTATTATAACAAAGTTGTCACGAGCGAGACTCCGTCAAAGTGACTGTATGAAATTTTGCTTGTCCTATGCCTTTCTATTAGTTTTTTTGTAAACTTACGTACTGTAAGTACGTATATGTACTTATATTACGTTACTAAGTACTTATGTACACAGTGTTCGTGTATAGTGGTGCAGTGTTAAGAGTAGACCAGTTTCTCTTGCGGTAGCGATACACTCAATCATTCTTCGACGTTGTACTCACGATTTGTGGCCTCTTAAATTTCACGAGCGTGTTATACTCGGCCGAATGATTTCGTGCTGCACTTTCCTCTTGTATTGAACTGTACCATTCAACCTACATATACCTATATTCCAGTGCACGAGTCGTCGCTCTTTAACGTTTCTCTCTTAAGATTACTACTATGTACACGTGTCGTTAGCCTATGGGATTTTCTCGTGCGGTATGTAGCCACGACTCAATTTGTTCTTACATGCATGCCGATGCCATTTGACTGATACTGCACACAATGTTATTCAGCGGTACGCTGAGATGCATACGATTTATTACGATATGCCAGAAGAGTAGAGATATTCCTTGTAAGATTTAGATACACGTGATACACGAAAAAATGTGTAATGTTAAACATTTATAGATGAGTAAAATTAATCTTGAGAAATACTAAGGACTGGTCTCGGGAATTCAAAAATTGTCACCCTTTGTGGTCTCTTGGTTGATTCCAGACGCATTGGAGAGTGTCCTGTGGAGTGAGGTAAAAAATGAAATAAAAGAAGGAGAAAGAGTATCGAGTGGAGAAGTTCGAGTAGAGGGGAAAAAAAAAAGAAAGATGGAAGAAAAATAAAGAGGAGAGGAAGGTTTTGTTTGTGGCCGCCCGCGCTGTTCTCAACGTTTGCCGTTCGAGTTAGAACAACGTCCTCTACAAAGGGCCGCTTGCATCTGCATCCCGAGTCCTTCGACAATGAAGGATCTGTCCACCTCTGGCATTAGCACATTTTTTGGCCCTCTATTTATCTTGCCATTTCCCAACCAACCTGTCAGAGGGGACGGAGTCGGTTGACTCATCCTTGCCGGCGCCTTTCCTTCGGGCTATCGAGTTTCCGTAGAAAGGTTCCATTAGATCCTGTTTATTCAGGACCTTGGTCTATATACAATATCAAAAATATCCTATTTAAACAGCACCAATCGCAATACTGTGGGACTGTGACGATAAACACTCGAACCTCACCTGCATGATCCTGGCGCCAGGACGAATTGTCGCTTGAGTTATGCTTTGCTTATCTTTTTATCCATCTGTCACTCTTTGCCTCATTCCGTTTTATCTTTTTATTACAGGTTACCGTAGCCAGCACCAGTACCAATGCCAACACCGTAAATCCCGCTGTAAATGATCTGGACTGGTTCGCCGATGTTGCCGAGGAGGAACTCCTGTATTATACAGGAGTCGGTAACGACATGGATTCTCTGTGGGCTGTTATAGGGAGTTTCGTTCCGCCGCCACCGAGACCACCATATCTTCCCGAAGAAGGTATTACAACCGACGGACTCACTACGTGCGATCTCTGTTCCTGGGCATGGAGAAACGATAGGCACTCCTTTTCCCTGGATGGTACTTTAGGTTAGTTCCTTACCAGACATTTTTACAGGTATTTTACATAAGCTAAAATCGATCCGAGCCTGAATGCAGTACCTGTTTACTCACTATTTAGAGCTTCGAGTTCCCACGGCACACAGTAGGAATACATATCCTTACCCGGACACAGTGATAACAAATCAAAGCAAAGAGAACCCAGGTAACATCCTTGGTGACATATTTTTTTTTTATTACTACCAACGTGAGAACTCTCACTATGCAAATAGATTTTCTACGAGTCTTACCACCTTGACGTTTTCTATCTCCTAGGTTTAAAAAAATCAATCGGCATCCAGAGGTATCTCTCAAGCCGATTAGATATCCGATCAGAAATATTAAAGAGTCAAGAACTCGTGTCGGTAAAATCATGAATATCCTGTTGACAATAGTCCCTGGGAGGAGCGGTGAGTGTTGTAATGACAATAGGATTATTTGTTGTGTATACACTCAGCGTGTTTGCGCCACGTTGTTTCGTTAAACACCAACCGCACTTGAAAGTCGAAACAATTCGTAGGGAGATACGCTTGGATCTTATATACATACAAAATGACTTTTAGGTTCCTGACTGTAAATGCAGTATACCGTATATATGCAGCTGTAAAGAATTGGTATGGCTCCGGACGAAAGAAGGGACAGATATGTATTTGATTTTTCATAGAACCAATGGTGGATATGGTGCGTACGAAAATCGTCCTCCCACGGTTGTGCAAGTGGCGACGCCATTAGAGTGGGCAAGCGTGGTAACGATCTTAGTAACGTCCATTAAGTTTAATGACCGAAGTCATTTCGTGGGTAGCTTTTGGTAGGGAAGGGAGCGGCCATGTTGGCGAGTGCGTACGCTTCGCTGACTATGGGGCACCATCGTATATAGGTAGTAAGCACCACGCGAAGGACCCCATGAGATCGTCCTAGTAATTCTCGATGGATAAAATTAAGAATAATAATTCGTTGTGGGGGGATCGAAGCCGGAGGCCGAACAGGGGCTTAACATCCGGTCTACGGCTCCTCCAATCCCAACTCACCGTGTCCCTCCCATACACATATCCTGTACACCATACGGAATACGTTGAAGGATATTTCACTGCAACGAGTCTCCACCCCCAATTTCTCCCTTTCGTTGGCATTATTGAACTCGCCCTGAATAGCTTGGACGCACGCGAGGTTGGTACGACTTTCAAAATGGCGGGTACGTTCCCTACCGCCATGATCTTATCCACGATCTGTATTGAGATAAAAATTTTTTTTCAAATTTACAAAAACAAAATTTTAATTTCCCAACATCGGTAGGCAGATCACGATTGACGTTGATATATAATTCATTTTTTAACGCGCAGAAATAGAGGGTGCCAAGGGAGATACTTCGAAAGGGCGGTAACGTAGCAATCAACGCGTCACCTGGCTGGCCACTATGACGTAATAATTACGAAATCGCACCCTGGGACGTATCTTCTCTCGTCCGAAATGCTATTACGTATAATATAATTAATGTCACTGCTCTAACAGGATATAAATTTCATATAACGAACGTATCTGCGAATATCTAACTCTTTTTCAAAAAACTTGACCCGTGACAGTTAAACTCCAGCTGCGTCTATTATCGTAGCGGCTATGTAAAAGTTGCGTAATCCAGCCAAGCGCGTTTACCTGGGTCCTAGTCCATATCTGAATAATAGTCGCTAGTGCTAATAAAACGTGTTGCTCAGGTATGGCCGAGTCAGTTGATGTTATCTTGAGAGGCATGGTCGGTAGCCCCGGTAGTCTCAGTGTCGTCGTAGCCTCCAGGTAAAGGAAGGTAACGAGGTGTTTTGGCGAATCGCACCTACCGGCCTAGTATACCTATACCGTCCTTACCCGTATACCCTTTACTAAAATAAAGGGACCAGCCGAGTCTCCATCGGGATGCGACCGAAATTTAGCTCCACCTCTTTCTTATCCCCGCATAAACTTTATCTTAGAGACGATCGTGAACTGCACGTAGATTTATTGGCAAGGCTGCATATCTCGGCCGGCCTCGCGGTACAGCCAGTGGTACGTGCGTACGCGTTCCAGCAGTTGCACGAGCAGAGTCGCCGAGCGGTCGATTCAAAGTTTGCGGACAAGGAAGGAAGGTCTGTAATTATTATAGTCGAGGAGACGATTACTGGAATTTTGAGAATGGGGTATCATAGAGTTTATACGCTTTAGGTATGCTCCGATAGGGTTTTGATAAATCGCTGGAGTTTTTGGTACCGGCAGTTTTGAATGGACCTGTAGGGCTGGCTGAGTGTTGGGTACACCAGATCAAACGACACGTCGCAGAGCGCGGGAGATAGGATCTTTGCCTCCGAGGCTGCAGAGCCCTTCTTCAAAAGATCCTTCGATCCTGCCGCCAGGATGCAGTAGAGAAGTCGCGCCCCTATGTAGATGCGTTAATATATATATATATTTACATGGCTACGTATAAATGGTAAAGCGTCCCATTACGTGGTTATCAATTGTCTAATGAAAACAAGCAATATCGAAAGTGCCGCTCTGACGCATCTAGTATAAATTACGTGGCTCTATCGAAATACTTAGAAATTTGTCCTACCTATGGTTCCACGGGTCTCCATTTAACGGAACAATTTTTTCGGCTCTTTCGTACAGACGCCTAAGGGACACCCACGCGCTTTCTGGTATTTCTGGTAATTAAGATTAAAACTACCTGGCTTAGACGTCAGGGGACGCGCACTATCGCGTACCAATGTCTACGTATGCAGGTAACTATGTACGCAGGGAACTATTCTTAACCACTTTTGAAAATCGTCTCTTTATCTCGCGCCACTTGCCAAGGTATTTTCAAATTTGAAGTTATCTCGAGACGGATGTTTACTTTTCAAAACATCCGCATTCCTCGTAAACCTTCACGGAAAAGTAGGTTGAAAATTTTTTTTCATGTATTCTGTATTAGTATATATCTTGAATATACAATTTTTCGTCATATATACGCAGAACGTATTTTACATATATTTTTGGTATATATAATACAAAAAATTTGACGTTCCAGATATATACATGACGTATAATAAAAAAAAAAATTTTTTTAAATTATATTTCACTCATACATTTTCGCGCATGTACCTATGTCCTACCATTCCCACAATGTAACTAGCCAACTTTCTGGCTGAGTAAACCCTTGGTTAACGTTCGCTTGAAAAACCATCCAGACGTTTCAATAAGTTGGCGGACATTGAAATCTACTCGATTACGACGTGGTTTGCCACTTTAGCCAAGAGAGCCTACCACGGTTCATTGAGTTAGCAACCGGCAGCCATTTTGGAAGCGTTCGACGATCAGCTTCCACGTTTACGTCCAAAGCGAATAGTAGAATCGGCTCTGGATCCCACGAATGGACCGTCCATAACTCTTTCTACCAATACACTCAATGATGAACAAGGATGCCTTAAGGGTCGGTTCTTTTTTAATTTTCACTTTGTACATCGCGACCAAACTTATTTTGACACTTGAAAAAATTTCCATTGTCCCACCCCATTCCGCTTCGCCCATCCACCGTGCATTGGAGCAATTCAATCAATTAGCACTTAGTGGTAGTTTTCAACGAACCAGATCAACTGGAAAAGCTGCCTCTCGTAGGCACACGTATGGTAACTGTCTGGCTGTCAGTCCGTCTGTCGAATAGGGCCACACCTTCGAAGACAGAGGAACAAACTGACGTAGAAGGAAGCCAGTCTGGTGAACCAAGATGGGATGACGGATAACTCGGGCGGTCGATCGTTCACCTGGTGATGGATCTGTTCCCAGCTATCCTCAGTCCCTTTCCGATCCAGTACGAGATCCTGGCATCGGCCTAAACGATCACTTAAGCATTACTTGGCGACACGGATCGAACATTCTCAAAGAAATTTTTTTTACTTTTATTACCACAATAGTCAACCAGACAACAATTTGTTATTCACGTTATTTTTTCGAGATAATATTTTTTAAAAAATTTATTCACTTTTCATACTTTGATCGACGAACCTAATTAGGATCGTTCGATCTTGTCCTTTAACTAGACCCTATTGAGATATTCACTTTCCAATATAATTTAATGGTAATTAGTCCCAGCGATCGTGTGGTAAATCTTCCTGGGAAAAGATTCGTTAAGGTAACCCTAGTACGGGTAATAGAGAAAGTATTGAAATATGAGATTCTATACTAGGAAGTATACTGCGCAAGCATAACGATTCGCGAGCGGTCAAAGGTCTGGTAAACAACGTTAGACATCTTCCATAGACTTTCCACAGTGCGTAAGGTCCAATTGATACGTCAGGATTAGCGTTTAGGAACTGGGCATTAGACTTCATTATCTCTTGACGTTTCTGAATGGCGCGAGGCGCCTCGTGAAGGGGCGCCAGGTTGACCCTTTCGACATCCCAGGCCGGCCCTTGAAAGCCCGTAAAAAGCAAATAAAGGTGATTTGCTGGTGGTTTGTCTGCCAGTAGCAGGGCTGCTGCCCTTACTTATGTAACGACGGGTAGGAGCAGTGGGTCCAATCTGACAAAAAAAAATGACCAGATAGAAAAATCATACAGAATTGAGTTAACAGTGTGTAGTTTTTTTTTCCTTCTTATTTTGCGATTAGAAAATTCCATGACTGTATATAGATATATCAGGCTGGGATACTGATTTTTATTGTAACTATAAACACAGGCACGATACGCCAACGGTGGGAATGCTTGTAAAGCAACTTGCGAAACGAGATAACTGTACAGTTCTGATTCTGGTTCTACAAGCTCGTAATCAGACCTACGTCATCCAGAACGTACATCATGTACCTAGTATCTACACACCTGTAAGTTTAAGCGACGGTCGTTCCCCGAATTTATAAATTGGCTCTTGCGACCCACGCGGACTTGAGACTGCCTACGGCTTACCGATTCGCTTTAATTAAAGAGTCGCAGACTGCGCGCCATGGGTAACACGTCCCTGGCACGGATGGGATACAAGTGGAAGAAAAGTATATAACCATGTAGGTATGGAGCAAATATATAGGTATAGTCGGATAGATATAACATGCGAGAGAGAAAAAAAATGGAAGGAACATACGTAGACGGAATAAATAAAATTTCACTACCGGCCGAATGTTAAAAGTCCCCGTGCGGACCTCGCGCAAGATGGCTCAATTATCACAGCCTCCGGGCCGCTCCTGGATAAATTATCGTCCTTAATGACATATTTATTGAGACCGCAGAACCGTCCTACCGGGAAATATTGGCAATTTGCCGGTTCGAGGTAACACGATCTCCATCTCTTTGGCTGACGCTCCTTTTACCTGCTCCTACTCATTCTTCCTGATCATCCTAAACTCGCTTTACTTGTCATCAGACTTTTTTAACCTTTCGCCCGATACACCGAATGATTAACGTGGCGGATATCTTCTTCGTGTATTCCTGGAATACCAGGAGAGACGGGCACGGAATTTGAGAAATAAAGGCAAACCCTATGGCGTACTAATATCCCATTAGCCGCTATAGGTAAGACGGTACCCTGTGAACGCATAGCATTGTAAAATACTCAGATTCCTATACTATATCTGTAGTAATACCACGTTCCTTTCCGTAATTTCCGCACGAGCGAAACGTTTGTAATTTGCATAATAACGACACGAACTCTACCAACCTACGGAATAAAGTAGTACGCGGTTGTCCACCTTCGGATCGAAAGTACCTATTACATAGGATATGACCTTCTGGCACGGAAAACCTTATGGGACCTTACCATGCGTACTGCTCACTCTGGGAAATGGGGGTTGCTGCAGGTAACAAGGATACGCACCTATTATATATATATATATATATATATATATATATATATATATATATATATATATATATATATATATAGGTAGCTGCGTGTGTTACAGTGGCAAAGAAATTTCGTGTAAAAACTCCTGCGGGAACACGTGTCCCCGCGGTGATCTCGTTGCGTGTCCTGACCCCCCATAGCCACGGACAAATCGCGTCTAACCCAACTCCACGAGACGCCATTATTCAAAGGGAGCCGTAATCTGGCCCCCATAATTGGAGGCCGAATTTGAAATATGAGCTTAGCCAACGTACATCGAAGAGCACCGTACAGGGAAAACGGTATCGGACACTACGAAATCTTTTGTACGCTCGATATAGTCCTACCGAAACCATTCGTACGGTATACTCGTCCGGGCACAAGTACAGAATTTGCGGTTGAAAATTCCGTTTAAAACGGTACGAGCTTATACACTCGTAGAAGCCACGGAACACGGTTACCTCGACTGCCGGGGTTTAATGCGTCCAGTGGTTTGCTCTCACGTGTAAAGCAACACGGTGTTTTTATGCTTCTGAATTTTTTTTCAAGAAATAATACCTTTATACAATATTGTATTATAACTGAAACAATCTATAACGTCGTGCAGGGTAAGAAATCCAAGCACTCGGGCGTTATTACACATCTGGTATAGGTACGTACCTATTGCTATTTTTCTATAAGCCAGCAAATGCCTACGTATACGAAAAGTACTTACCTACCAGGTCGCATACAATTTTTCTCATCTTGCATCAAGGCTATGGCGTCCTGCCGACACGGATGATTGATAAGTCTCGTGTAAGGTGTTATCAGGCGGCATGCGCGCTGTTATGTTCACGTCAGGGCCCTGGAGAGATCCCATGGTACGTATAGCCCTCCTTTCGGTACCCGTCCACGCAACTTGTTGCCGTTAATTCAAACTTACGTGTCGGCGTGTTAACTCGATCTTTCATTTCTTGTTTTTTCTTTTCCTTTTTCATATATTCTTTTTGGATCTGTTCTGCCTCTTTTATTCCTCGTGCGTTACCCACGCGTTATATGGCGATCGAACGTACTGAATTCTACTAGCGTGGATATGGATATCGGTACTTTTGAAAATAATTGTAAGGACAATTGGGATTTTGAAATTATGAAAAAATTTGAGGGACCAAGTAGGATATGGCTAATTAGTTGGCGTTAGTTGACTATTAAGGCGATAGACGGCATTGGGCTTCTTGGGTAATAGATCGATATTTTATTTATAAGCCAACGGAACTGCTGTCGGCTATGGGTGAGAAGGAAATTCAACAAAAAGATAAAAGCGAATGCCTGGACTCCGACAGGGATTGACGGACAGAAACAAAATAGTTTTTGAAGTGGGGCTACCCTCGTGTGGGTTCGTTAGTGTGTTGAAACTCTTCACGGGGAATCGACGTGTTCTCTGAATATGAATCTTCGTATTATTATTCCCACGAGTGAGTGCTCGATGATAAAAGGATCTTTAACGAGTGATGGTTAATCGAACCTAGTAATTATTGATGATATTAAAAGGACTCGTATGTACACCTTACTGAATTTCGTAATGATTTTTTTATTGATTTACGTATTGGTGTTGCGTGTACACGTTGGTCTTATTATTCGTAGGAAGCTTCGCTTTAATGGACTCCGTTCCTTTAACGATTGCAAATTTTATTACGAAAATTTCCTACCGGCTCGCCACGTGTACCACAGCCGTGTCCTGCTTCGCGCATGCGCTCTGTAGAGGTATCGCTCGCGCCCATTATAAAAATTGGGGATTCCCCGCGGCGCAACCAAATTCAAACGTGGCTTCGGTGGGTCGGCTCATTATCGCGCGACTTAAAATATAATACGTAACGACGTCACCAGCTCAGTTTCATAATGTATATTGTTAACTGTGTTTCTTACAGTCTCATATTTATTTCTTACAGAAGCACCGGGCGAACTTGGATGGGTCCTGACTTTAGTGATAGTTTCACTGGTATCAGCCGGTATAGGAGCAGTTGTCATGGTAACTCTTCTTCACTGTCGAAGGTATGTATTTCTGGTACTTTTATATGACATACTGTTCGGCTAGGATTAAATCAGTGAGGAAAATAATAATGGTGCTATAGAAATGAAAGATAAGGTTTTTTTTTTCCACGGAATCCAATTGGGACAAATCTGTAAATTTGAAATCACGAAACTGGTCTAGAATTATCGGTCCCATTGTTTTTTGTTAATCGCCAAGCATCCTTGGTTTTGCGATTAGTTTTTCAAAAACCCTTAAGCGTATTCCTCGTCGGAGCCATGACAACGTCTCGAAGCGTCGGTTTCATTGAGTCTCGTTTAGTCAGAGAAATCGTAGATCAGGAGCGAAACGGGTTCGGCACAATGGAGCTAGTTGACTGGTGGGCCATCGAGCGAATAAAAAAGTCGGAATCGATTTGAGCCGCGGGCATTCGAAAAAAAGTCCGAAATACCTTGTGCCCGTCGTGCCGCGGGAGGTTCATTATTCGTGATACGTGCGAGCATTTGGTTTCCATGAAAAAGACTATTTCCAAATGGGGATAGAGTGGGTCGATCGCTGAGGTCAATCGGGCCGCCATTTAGGGTTACACCGGTGCCACCACTGAACCATTGCCCGACTAATAAAAACCATCATCCTCGAAACCTACATACGTATCTCCGTTTACCATAAATAGAGGACATGAAGAAATCTCAACAAAATCGGGACAAAGTACCATTATCAAAGTTCGTCGGTATTCGTAGGATTTACCTGAATATTGATTTCAAAAGAAACAGCGACAAAAGGACCCAGTGGGAGGATCAAATTTATTCCCAAGGATCTTGACTCTGGCCAAATGATATTTACTTGTAAGAAAGATATCGTAAAGCTCATCCAGCCAGAAACATTTCTAACAGAGGAGCGAACGGGTTCGGGAGGTGGTAGAACAGGGACTTGCTAACTAGATCGATCCGCGACGAATCCATCGGTGACAGGGAAACGACGAAGAAGTCGAAGACAGGATGAAGAGCCATGGTCGTTTGTGGAGGTGGAGAACCGGGTACTCCTGGTCACGCCTCGGAGTGTGAGACTCGTTCCAGAACTAAGGGAACTTCTTAAGACAAACACCGCGCGATGCTGAATTCGTTTCGGACCAGGTTCCCCCAAGATTCCTCTCATCACCCTTGGTCCCCTAACGTCTCATCGCTAGGGCAGCCACTAGCTTTTTTATCCCGTCGGTAGAATCCAAGGCAACCGATTTCCTCGGCATGACGAGTCATTCATTCAGGACAGAGTTAATCCGCCATTAAAGTATACCATTCTTCCTCGATCCGTGCACGTAGAAACGGAAGCCGCCATCTTTAGATCGAAAAAAAAAAAGTTGATAAAAGTCAAAATATTCGAAAGATTTCGATGCTGGATGAAAAGTATTAAAAATTACTGTCTTTTGTTTCAGATTAAAAAGCACCGCTGCCAGAGGTAAGAATCTTCGGACAGGTACACCAACTACGTAAACGAATATCGAATCACTATTCATCGGACTATGAAACTCGTCAGTTTGCACGAACGATAGCGCGATCCGATCGCAGCCCCCCAATGACCAACTCTCTTCTAGACTATCACGGTAGCTACTTAAGCATCTTGAAAGCGATCTTATATCGAACCTCCTAGGAATCACGTTGGGTAATCCGTTCGTAGAAGCGCAGCTGCCGCGTAGGACCTATTAGTATAGAGTTAGCGGAGCAAAAGACTTGGCTCATTGCTAGGGCGAACACTAACCTCCAATTATATCGAATTAACATTCCGTGTATGGAGCAGTGGCCCCGCAGCGGACCTGACAGGCTCCAGGTTCGAAGCGATTCCCAATTATCCGACTCCCCTACTGCGTTGCCGTCTCCGGTACTCTAGCCATTCTGAAATTGTTCGTTGTGCGCACCGAGTCCTGGTTGATCCACGACGAATTCGTCCACCAGGTAAGGCACGCTGCTCAGATGGTTATCCACGTCGATCCGGGGGCGGAGAAAGTAGGATCGATCGATCCCAAAGTAAAAGGTTAAAGTAATTCGTCTACGTCATGAAGCCGATAAACATCGAGAAATACACAAGATGGCGCTAAGTGTTACGATAAATTGGGTGGTATCAAAAATCTATAGAATACTAAATAGAATCCAATATATTAATATATCTCTATCTCTAAGGTATAATACTACTGTATCCGGCTTATGTTTACCGATAGTATCTCGTGCATGCTTGGAGGTACGACACCAGGAGTGTCAGTATCTATTGGAGTTTAATTAGTTCGCATAATGAAAGCGAACCCGTGACTCCTGCGGAGGGTTAACCGTACGGGATCTTAGGAAGGAACGACGTAAGAGACAGTCGGACGCGTCTAATTAACTTTCTGATTTAAAATCACCCGCGACTCGATACGATCGACAAAGAGCGACATTGCAGCGCCACTGCCATACGCGAATGCGCGGGTCACCCGAATTAATTACCCGACACTCGTTCTCCTTATACGATTTCACTCTCTCTCCCTCTTCTTCTTCCACCTCACCATTTGGTTCAGTTTCACTCACTTCAATCTGCCGATCTTTCTCCCGCGAGAGAATGCTTCTCCGCCTCGATTCCTGCCACAGCCCCGGAGTACTCACACTTTCTCAACGGCGTTCAGCCCGTGCCTGAGTCCCGTCGTCCATGGTGGTCCGTTCTCGGTTTCCCCGCGATCGACTCCGACGCGCGGTTTCATCGCTTTTATTAGCACGTTCGTAATCCGACCGGCACCAAACCCTGGACGGATGGATGGCGAAGGCTCTCTACGTCCTACCGAGAACCCATCGGCCACCGTGATTGTTCTAATCCATTTCCAAGAGTAACAGTCAAGCCTGAACTTGGATATGGAGAATGAGAAAAAGTTGATTAATTTTAATGACGAGAAAGCACCGGCAGTAGTTTTTAAAAAAATGTATAAAAATATGCAAACAATAAAGATAGGCATTTGCGTATTATTGCGAGAAGCAATAAAGTCAAAAATTTATTATCAGTATGTAACTCTTGTACCGTATATATACATATATATATATATCGTTAACGCAGAAGCAAGAACGATCAACGGATAACAATGAAGTCTCTCAATGACTCGTACGAGTGGGGCATTCTGATTTCTCGATGATCTCGAGATATAATGGAGAGCTGAAAGCCGTGTAGAATAGACCAGCCAAGTGTGGTAATCCGCTTATCGAATTTGAGACGACATTTACGATCGGCTGCTGAACTGCCAATGACATTCGATCGAATTGTACATCCAACCTGCGCGTACACATATAGAGACTCGCTAGAGGAGGGACTAGAGCCGAGTTAGTCACGAGTCATGGCTCCGCCGAATAAGACTTATACAGAGTGACCATATCAGATCGACTGTTCCTACTATTAAACTCACCTTCGTATCTTCTACCGTTGCTAGACAGTCAGACAGCAGGACGGACGTGTAGCGTACAGAACGTTTCAATTTTACGTGTCGCTTCACTACCAGACCCACTCTACATACACCTCGCTCACAACGAATTAATATTCAAATAATCTAACCCGGTAAATCACAGCAGCGTCGTGGGCTGTACAATGGTGAAACGCGAAGTGACAGGCGGGAAGAAGATCTGATTAAAGTACGCTTCCTATGTGGCTGCAATGGCGTAATCGCAATTAGTGGGCGTCGACCCGAGTATCGATCTTTCTGCTTTACCACGCCGAAGGTGTTTTCGATTTTGACCAGGTAAAATCGATTGACTGACATCGCGCGGGCCAGCCGCGGGAAAAAGCTTCTAGAAGGAATTTCTCAAAAGTCGATAGTAGAGCGTACTCGAGCGGAATCGATTAATCGATACTCGGAAACGATCGAAAAGGCGATCTCCGTATAGTCTCGAACCAGGGGCGCGTGTGGGTTCCCCTTGAAGGCCGCGTAAAAAGGAGCGTGATGACGAATGATACGTGCGTAGGTTATGAGGTGCCCCAGAACCATGAGATTCCCATAATCTTCTTTTCTCTTCTTTTTTTTAACCCCTTTTTTTCATTGGTTCCGCACGGTCTCATGGCTACTTACCGCTGGTCGGCTTCTCTGATCTATGAATTCTCGAGCCGGTCCGCTCCTCCCCTCGACCTTCTCCTCGCGTTCCTCTGCTACCCTCGCGAGACACATGACGGTACGATGACGAGGGCACAATGAGGCCATACAGAAAACAGGCTTTTCATACTACGGGCATGTCATAATGCGGGATTTAATGTATGCCCATACCTATCGGGATTCTGCTTAACCTCACCTGGCACTTCATAAGCTTCTTCGCCTCGCATATCGACCCTGCGAGTTCAACGCACCGGGCACAATGGCGAAATACGAGTTTCATGCGACTCTCCTAGGACCTTACCCAGGGCGCGAAAGACCTCAGACCTTCTCATAGGGAAAACGTTCGATTTTGCAGGTACCTGCTGTGGTGTAGGTGTCGAGGATACGTCCACGCAGGAGTCGGCTAGTCCTGCCGGTGGCGGAGGTGGTGGTGGAGTCTCTGTGATACCCGATAGGCCACCACTGGAACTGGATAAATTACCACCCTATCATGACGTTACACCTAGTCCAGGTGAATTTACGCATTTTCAACTAGGGAACTGCATGCTCATCCTAAATGTAAATTCGAGCCTTGCTTATACGTTTGGTGCTCGCAATGTTCCAGGACATAACGTATGGTCCTGGCTTGGGTCACGTCGCGGGGGTGGTACTCCAGGAGTAGTCGCTACACCTTTGTCCCTTCCGCAACATAGGAGAGCCATGAATCTACCCGTTGAGAACCACTATACCCACATGCAGACCGACGAAGCTCTCTACGCTGAACTCGACTCGCAAGCAGCCAGCTACGCGAGCGATCTTCAGCTGCAGATGAGAGGAAGCTCGACCTACGGTACCACTTCCGGCGGTCAGGACGACGAGTATCACGAGCTGGATGCCGCGAGACTGCATCGTCATTACGGGGCTGGGAATAATGACGGCTCATTACGGCGGGACGCATTGCGTACACGACACAGCCAAAGGTAAGAGAGTTTAAATTATCACAAGCAAGGCATCGGCAGAGTAAAGTCAAAATGACTTGGACGTTACGGGCGACCGATGACGATAAGAAAAGAAATTGATAATGATACTGGCTCGATATTTTCATTATATTTTTCAATCAGGTTGCAGGAGCCTGATTACGAGATGTATGAAAATGGACCAACAACCCCAAGGCCGCCCAGTCAGCTCCAACACCATCATCATCAGACGATCAGAACTGGAAGCGGTGCCAGTGAGCATCCATCCTATCAGAACACAGCATACACAGGAAGTGACGCTGAACCGGATGGTCCCACGCTTAGCAGTGCCCCAAGTAGTGCTTACTATAGCGACTTGAGTTCGAATTCTGCAAATCAGCAACTGCCACCTTCGGCATCCGCCACCAGTCTTCAGCCTAATCCTCAGAATCTGGAGACCCCGCAGTACAGGCTGGCAGCGATAAACGAGAGTTCGGTGCCGTCCGATTACATCTAGAACTTTTATAAAACGACCGGCGTGCTCGATTATATTCTCTAAAGCTCAAAGGACTGTTAGATTATAAAATCGGCGGTAGGTGAATTTCTCGTATCATCGGCGTCCAGCTACAATTGTGATCCAATCACTTTGAGTGAGGCCGCCCTTGTTTTTTCGATCTTTGATCGCGGTAACGAACTGCTCAACGACTCGGAACGCCTGTCGTGGGCTCGCCCTAGTTCGTGCCCAAGTAAAACCGGGTAAAAAGAAGACCCGTTGGTGAGGAGCACGTCTGCGGAAGTGACGAGTCTCATGCCGATCAGAGTCAGTGAACCGGTCGCCACGCAGTGTCCCTGCCCAAGAAAAGTGTGATCGGATGTATCGTGTGCATCGGCAAGCGCAGGAGCGAAGACTCGTGGTAAACAAAAATCAAGACTCAAGAACAAGACTATTTATTCTGCGAGAATATAATGTACAGAGGGATCTGCAGTAATCAGTTTATCTAGCTGCGAACAAACCTAATAGACACGTAATACACGGTGCGATGCCAATCGGTTGTAACGATTGCGATAACGGGGCCGTCCTAACCGCACGCCCCCGCGCGAGTACAAAACAATCGAGTTACCCGCTATACTTTTGTAATCTCTGATCTAATCGGAAATCTCTCTTGGGGCTCGGTCGGAGGGCCGGCGCATACGGAGCGTAATATATTGCCTCGTCCATGTAGAAAAGGTTCGGGCGTTTGCGCTCGCGCGCGCGCAGCCCCTCGCCTACGGTCGCAGAGTCGGATATACGTGGCACAGGGGCCAAGTGATGTGTGCGACGTTGGATTAAGTTATTTTCGTCGAACAGGTGTCTCATAATTCGACGTTCGAGTTTCACGCCGGCATCGACTGCATCCGGCGGGATGGACTGTGCCTCTGCACCACTCGGACTGGCTCCCTCATTCTGCGTTAAAAACGGCAGGTTTACGTTTCCATTGTTAAGTGGGAATCGAGGTCGGAATGGAGGAGATAAAAAGAGAGAGAGAGAGAGAGAGAGAGAGAGAGAGAGAGAGAGAAACAGCATTTCGCCAGCCGGCACGCACACTGCTTCATTTCCCGTTCCGATTCCACCGAGCGTTTTACTCGTCTTAATTGCCTCTCAGCTCCGTCGGCAATTGTCCTCGTGCTCGACGTGGAGAAGACGTTTTCATGCGTTCTCGGCAAGACTCTCTCGCCTACCCTGAGGCCATCTCCAGCGACCACCTACACGTATTTACACGCGGTCCACTCTCCAGGCGACGTAAGTCGTCCTGAGAAGAGAGTACATGCGAGTAAGCGAGTATACCTATATATATATATATATACACGCCATGTGCTCGCAAATATATGCGCGTATACCCATATACTTACGAGCACTTTAATTTATTAGGGACGCGTACGCGAGCCCCAAGAAATTCACTCCGCGATGCACGTTGAGTGCAGCAACAGATGCAACAATGCGGCTGCTCGCGGGCACGCAATAATTAATTGCATCCTCGCGGCCACAATGCCGGCTCGGCCGCGTTCGAAGCGCATTATTTCCTCGCCAAAAGAAAGAAAAATCTTGGCCCTTCTTATCGGCCGTGTTACGCGAGAGCGAGAGTGCGCCGAGGGTACGTGAAACTGGGTACGTAGTATATCGGACGACCCGAGCGAGCCCCGTTAATTGGAGGCAACCACTCCTTCGCCTCTTGCGGAGGCCTCCCTTAAGGACCATCTCCATAGGTCGCGTTATACAGGTAGCCAAGAAAACATCCCGTAGTCTTTCTCGACAATGCTCGTGGGAATTATACCGATGGCTCTGGATATAGTCTGGCTATGGCGCACCATACCGCAAAGACCTAGAGTTGGAAGTAGGATGTGGCCGGGTATACGAAGGACGGTCAGGCCCGCCCCGACTGGCACTACGTTCCTGCCGGGGCATATAAATTATACATGTAAATATACGGGCGGCCGGGCTGAGAGATCGAACTCTGAGATATCAAGATATGTGTTGGCGACCCCATCCTCCTTCTGCGTGTCCTCTCTACACCTCGCACAGCCACAGCCGCAGACCAGGCTCCCTCTATACGCGCACGTTACACACCGTCGACTTGTATACCAATCCGACGCGTCCCACCGATCGTCCTTATAATCCCTTGGCATTCCGGCGAGTGCTCGCTCACTGTCTGATTCGCTTAACCGGCCGTCCAGTCTGCCGTTTGTGCTATTTCGGCGTAATCGATGAAATCTCTGGATTACGATAAGTTATTCAAAGCTATTGAAGTCGCGCGGGTATCTCATGACGATCCCTGTATCCTTTCCGTTGACGAAAGGACTACTTAACCTATAAAACGTGGAACATTTGTACATCAATTCGTCTTGTTAGCCGACTACAGAAGTCTACGCTCGTGTATATTCTAACCTCAAAGCCTTTTAGTTGTAAGCCTAAGTCGTTAATTGTAAAGTGAATGAAATCAATGAATATTATCACCGCTGTACATAATATAGGATTTATAAGTAAAAGTACCGTGATGGTGAGTGCCTCCTGCATGGACTTTTCTCTACGGTAATTCAAAATTATATAAATATATAAATACGTTACGCTGCTCTTGCACTGTCATTGTCGGGGTGATCTTATACCTGTATAAAACGTCGTAAGGCACTGCTCGTAGAATTTCTAAACGACAACTGTACTGTACGATACTGCGTTCCACGTGCCAGTGGAATTCGTCGATATTGTGACACAAAGCGTATCGCCTTTCGTTATCTGTTACTTTGAACTAGAAAGACATCGGCACCCCCCCAGCACCTGGCGCATGACAAGCCGTATAGTTTTGGCTATAAATAATTCATACGCCGTCGCATCGTGCTATGTACATAGACGCATAGAGTGTAAAAAGAAAATTGTAACGCGCGTGATTTAATTGTGTACATACATAAATACGAACCGCGGAGAAAAGTAGGCAGGCTCGCATGTATAATAAAGAGTCAGAACGCGTCAGTTCTGTCAGTCAGAACAGATAGAGTGCACGTGCCAAGAGAAAATAGAGCGAAGAGAAGAAAAAGAAGATAAAAACGAAATACGGCACGATCGAAAAATAAAGTACGATTTTGCACTTAGACACTCTTTCGTTTTTTTTTTACAATATCCTATATCGCAATCAAAACTTCCGGTTTCTGCAGCTCCTTATACTTTTAGGTACAGAAGACGATGGTATATGTTGATCTTAATTTTTTCGTTTATTTTTTTGTTTTCTTTTCTTTAATCAGTCACAATAAATATCTGGATAGCACAACGCAACCTCTTTACAATTCATTGCAGCGGCAGGTAAATGCCAAGCCTTCGCAAGAAGGATGGGGACAAACGAAATGTGATAAGGATCAGGTTCGAGTAATGGCGGAAGGAGAAGTGTGGGACTTGGAGAGATTCCGGTCAGTCCAGGGAGAGACAATAGTCCTGGTCGTTTTACTTCATTTCGGCATGAATACCTCTCGATGCCGCTTTTAAAAATGGACGTTTTACACGGGTGTCCCGACGTGGGTCAGAAACGATCCTTCGTCGCTTTCCTTTTAGTTTAACATAGTTTGGCAACACCGAAGAATCGAACTACTGACGAATATAATGGATTAATGTAAATAATAAGGAAAAGTCTCTGCGTTATTAATCCTTCTCGTTGGTATTAATTGTAAAGTGGTGAAGTAAAATGTTTTTACGAAGACCGCATAAACATATATTTTTTTATTCTCTGACGTCCATTATAAATCCTGATTTGTCATAATCGACGTGACGGCAATCCCTGGCAAGCTTACGGATGTGAATAATGCGAATGAATGTAAAATGTAAAAATAAAAAGAAAACTTTACAGGTCAATCACACACGCCGTATTAAAGAGTATTTCAGTCACTCTATTATTCCGTTGTTAATAATTATAAATATAATTTTTTTTCATAACTACAGTGTATGATACAGAGCTAGAGGAGATTTGGTAGATTAAAAGACAGGAGCGAAAGAGTCCTAAAAGATAAAGTTTTCTGCTTGTTTCTTTTTTGTTGTGGCTCAATGGCGCATTAGAGCTTTTTTTTTTAACTTTTATCGTATCAAGCGAACCTGTACTCCTGTAATCCTAGGTTGGGTAATGGGATAACAAGGATGGGATTTAGGATAGGAAACTTATCCACAAAAAGGATAAAAACACGATTACGATACACCTTTCCTTGTGCTCGTTGCTATCTTCGCTAGCGAATAACGCGAATCCTTTTTTTTCTAGCAGTTATTCTGACACAACAATAATTGAACAATCGTGTGGTAAAGCCTAGTTCGGATAGTTTTAATAGATTTAAGGAAATGAGACGCGGCAAGTGCGAAGACGACAACAACAAGCTGTAGTGGAAGTGCAATTTTTTTATAGGTACAAATTTACATGAAGAAATCTCAAAATTTATTACCCGAACACGAAATAGCATTTTTTGCAATAAAGCGGACAAAGTAAAATAATTTGTTCTACTTGGGGGGCACGTTCTGAAATTCACGACCAAAACTGCAAGCCTGTAGTGTCTTACTCTATTCTACGTAGGTAAACAGAAACACAACATACTCGTGTACTGACAAGTGAATTTCGGAACGTATGCATACTTATACTTTTTTTTCCTTCACGGATCCGAGCTAGGCTTCAATTTTCGGATAACAAATACGCAATAAATATAACCTAACTCTAATCTATTAATCGTGAGGACATTTTGAAAGACGGCACGAGAACATGTGTAAGTCGATTGCACAAAATAATGCAGCAATCGATTATTTGCAACCGTAGTAAAAGGATTTCTTCGAAACCGTGCTCGCGCAGAAACAATTTTTTTTTTGAATTTTCAATTGTGGAAATAGATTGCACGAAGATGACGGGCTATCCCAATACGCACGCCCGTTCGATAATCAAATAAGAAGTGATTTTTGATAACGACGACTCTTCGACATTAATCCTCAGAGAAGTCAAAGCATTGAGATTGAGAGCGAAAGAGAAATTAAACATGGAATAGCAAAGAAATGCCAAGCTAAGTTGCTGGTAAATGCAAGAGATTTCTTCGGAATAGGATCGCACGTGCAATATTAAAAATTATAACGAGTTCCTTAACCTCTAATACTCAGATATTTAATTATAGCTCAAAACTCTTAGAGATTCCATTTCATTCCTTGAGTATCTTAGGCTATTTAGAACTTGATTCAGATGAATGCAATATAGCTAAGGGATACCCGAGCACGCTATCTTGTATCTTTGAAACACTCACATAAAAGAACAATCAAATTTTAATGCAAAAACCAAGAACAACACCATTATAGGACCTACATTGTCAGTGAGAGGATTAATAATCGAAGGGCCGATTAGGTATACATGGACTTTGTGTATAATGTGTATGCATGTCATCTTCAACAAACTGACCCATTTTCATCTTTTTTAATAACATACCCAGTCCAGGCACCGAAAATACCTAATTCTCTTCAAACACGTTAGTTATTACCTAACTTAGCGCTGCAACTGCTTGTCAGCGAATGCACTATTGTTGTTGGGGGATCATTTGTTGTCCAGATATATCTTGAGCGCCCTTTCCCGTCGCGGGCTGTAACTCGATGTGGAGGAAAGAGACATTAAACGAAAACTCTCCTTGCTGGCAATTTCCTTGAGTTCTTCTGCGTTTAGATTTTTCTGTTCTTCTCTGTTATCCCTGTGTTACATATAATTAAAGTTACGCAACATCATTATTGAAATAAATATAATTCCTAATAAAAGTAGTCTCGTCATACTAACCTGTAGAATACAACTGAACCATCTTCTAAACTATGTGGCCAAGCGTCAATGCCTGTAGTTTGGTAGTTCCAATCGAGGTCATTTTGCACCCTGAGTACAGAAATTTCACAGGGGAAGGTACCCTTACCATGTGCCACCTCTATAAATTGTTCTGGTATTTCCGATATCGACGACAGCTTTTCTTTAAGCTCCTCAATTGAGTTTCCGTTCAGCACTATCTCTTGGAAAGGGCCTAATTGCATTTTCGATGGTGACCATCTTCTGACAAAGATGAGCATTTGTTCAGGGTCCGTGACAACTTCCTTGTCAGGCAATTCTTGCACTATCAATTCTAATTGGCAAGAATAGCGAGGGACATCGAATTTCTCTAAATCTGTAAGGACCCTTGCAGCTGTTTTGTAGTTCTTCTTTCTAAGTCGACAGCGCTCGTATGGTATATCAAGGTCGCACTTTCTTTTTATTTCAGCTAAAATTTCTCTTTTTGTCTGTGCAACTGTTGCACCCCTCGATGCGATGTATTCGCAGAGGAATTTATAAGGCTGTCAAATTAACAAAATTCGAGTGAATTAATATTAAAGCCCACAGCATTGATCAACCATAATAACATATAAGAGTACTTAATAAATCAACAAACCTCTGTAGCGTTCAGAAGTAGTTGATACAACCTGACTTTGCATTCGCCACTTCGTAAAGCTCGTCCAAGTTTCAGAGTTAATTTGTCTCCATGATCGAAGGTAAGAATCTGCTCTGTTAGATAATGACATTCTGCCTCTCCGATTTCAGTGAGTTGCCGATAAACTTTGAAATACTCCATCGGCACTCCTACGTATGGTTCCAAATGTTCCTTAAGAGTGCTTAGTTGCATTCGTCTATCGACTGAGACTTTTAACACTGCAACAAAATTATAGTCAACACTTACGAAATGATGTTATGTTTTAGGTATCGAAACTAGTCTTAATAGATACTTACTCTTCTGATTATTCTCTGTGTAAGGAACAGCCTTGAAGTAGTATTCTGAATCAGACTCGAACTCGCTACGCCAAGTGTCAATTTGATTCTGACTATATGGAAGCCGCTCGTAAGTCTGTACATTATGAAAATCATCGACTGACGCTAATACACAGTCATCCTCCTCAGGGGCATCACCAACAAGCGTTCTGTCGCTATCGCTTAGACTACTATCCTCACTGTTACTCTGTTCTGGTGTAAACCAGTCCTCGGTTTCGACTAACTGAGGACTAGAATTTCTTACTGACGTGTCCTCATTACTTGGACCTATTTTCGGCTGCTTATTGTTACATTTCAAATTCGTATCCTTGTGTGGCTCGTTAATGGACAACTTTGACGGACCGTTGGTAACAGGTTTTTCTTCCTCCCTTTCTTTTTCCTTCTCTTTTTCGTTCTCTTTTTCTTTTTCCTTTTCCTTCTGTCTATCCTCCAAGGAAGGTATATTCAACTCGTACAATATTTCTAAAATAAATAATACATCAGCATACCTGATCGATGTACTTAAACGTACATGTAAAATATATACCTTTGCTAGTATCAGGCAACTGGATGTGTAAGAAATATATATGTTCTCCGTTTGCTATGATCTTATTTAATACGGATTCATGATATGGTTTTGTAGGGTCTGGATCTATCATAGTAGATACATAAATTTTATCTGAATTAATTAAACGTTCTGTCTGAAGTTGATTGTCATCATTTTCCAATGGTTTGCTTCCTGAGAATCTTTGGTAGACCAGCTTCATCTGCTTTGGATCCATGTTCAAGATTTTTCCTAATTGCTGCTTGAACTCCTTTACAGTTTGCGTCGTTAACCCTCGCACATTAATGGGGCCATCAACTATTTCCTTCTTAAGCACATCCACAACGAATACTTTGAGAGCAATCCCTGAAGCAATGAAATACCGTAGTAGTAACTGAAGGTATGTAGAAAAAAATAATTAATGTTCACTCACCACCAGGTAGGTAAGTCTCGAATTTCTGATCCTTCTTCCGTATTTCGAGAAGCAAATCAAAACGATTATCACCTCTCCATATCTCGCTAATAGTTTCGAGTTCTTTTCCTTCAAAGCTGCACTCGATGAGATCACTACGACGATCATAACTAACGAGCCTACACTGATCTAGATTTACTACACCTTCCAATCCGAATTTTCGGTATGCTTTTTCGGTCGTTCCAGCCCACGTCTCATCATGCAGCACGTATAGCTTCATGTCCAAAAGTTTATCTTCTGTTGGATGATGGCAGTAGACTTTAAACTTACACATGGATATCTGCTTCTCGCGATTCTTCCTGTCATTCTCTTCACTCTCCTTCATCTTTTTCAAAAGATCCTGAATATGTGCTGGAAAATCTTGTACCTGCATGGGCAACGTATTTCGAGCTGGATCGATTTGTCTGTACATCAGCATATAAGCGTTTGTGCTACTACTGTATGCTCCACTGTAATAAGCCCTGGTTGGACCCCCGCCATAAGTTTTCTGTATGTCATCGTGGGTTATCTGTAATTTGGAAATTAGGATTTAATGATAAAATTATAAAACAGTTGATATTACAAAAAAGAGTTAAGATCAATGTAATATTTACTCTCGAAACACTCTGATCGTTGAAGCAGAACCATTCTTGTGTCTTCAGATCTTTAATATATGCATAGTAATGGCCACCACTAGCGCTACCACTGTGGATCATTATGGAAAATAGCTCATACTGATAAGGACCTTTTCCCACTGCACGATTTCCACGATTTTTCTCATTTTCATGATTGTGCACACTGCAGTTAGATGTTGACGGTGTGTTACTCACGTCGATACCTGATATATGAACATTATTTACGAGTCGTTGTAATATGGGGATATTGATTTAATCATTAATTACCTTCATCATCGTCCTGATCGTGATTGTTAGAATAATTACTATTGGACATACTATTGTCACAAGGTGGACATTCGTCGTCCAATGTTCCACTATCTGTGGTCGAACTGTCATCGCACTTAACGCCCAATCCTACGTCCTCTTCCCCACCTGGAGACTCTTGATTCGATGCTGATGCAATAAATGAATTTAAATTCAGGATATCCGGAAAGGTTACTCTGTATGAAAAAGCTTGTCAGTATTCAAATTACAAAATAAGCGTAAATTAAATTAACGCTATGCGCTCGCTTACTTGTCATTTAGCTTGATTCTATGAAAGGTGTTGTAATCGAAGTCAAAGCGTTTAAGATGTAGGGTAAGGAGATAAGGAAATTTAGTAAATTTCAATCCTTTATGGGCGTCGCACTTTTTGTTACATTTCTCACAATGATATTGATTGTTTCCATCAAGAGTCTCGGGTTGTACGAATGCTCTAAGGGCCTCTTCCTGTGATCGCGTTATAATTCACTGATTTTACAATCGCTATAAATTATTTCTGAACTTTACCCAGTAATTTTAATGAACTGCCACTTACCACACTGTTGTACGCTACGTTGCTGCCATAAGGTCTGACAGGCAACGGGATATCCAGGAACGTATCTTCTCTTGACTTTTCTGTGCTGCATTCCAAGCACTTAACGTAATCAATCATCTTCCCTAAGTGAGTTAATATACGTTAAAAGATTGACCAGTCTATAAAAAATTCATCTTACTACCTTCATAGAGTCTATTTATCAGGTCGGCTTGTTCGGTGTTCTTGAACTTTTGTTCCAAAGCGTCGAACATGACTCTACAAAGTTCCTGAATATCGTGCTGCTGCCAAGCTTCAGTGGAGTCCCATCCGAAACTCTTTGTCAGTGATGTCGTCTCTACTGCTGATTTCATTGATGTCTGTTGACAGTTTACAAACACACGACGAATTTCAATAATGGGGGCGGCCATTTTTTTTGTAAATTCTATTATGGCGAAAAATCAAACCTGTAGATTTAGGAATAACTTTTGCAATTGGTAAGGGATACTTTTGGCCTCATCCTTCTCAGAGCCGTCGACGAATTCCCAGTTATACAGGGCGTTTCTGAATTCGGGTGTCATGTAGAGAGCTTGGAGGAGACTGTTCAGGTAGCACGTCATAGCTTGATTCACAAGTCCCACGTATCCTTAAAATTAGACATTGCTTCTTGAATTAGTGAACGATATCACGAGTACAATGAATAAAATTGTGCATGAATCTCCGAAAGATACAAAGACACGAAACACTAAGGAGAATATTTAAATGATATCAAAGATGAAAAATGTGAGTGTTAAGATTTGGATGAAGCATGTAAAAGCTAGCAAGGCATACAACACTATTTCGATTTGTCTGATTCAATCAAAATTCTCGTCCAACATAATGTAACATCACCACGGCCCAAAGCCATTTCTCGAGAAAACGTTTCAATGACAAGGAAAGAGAAAAGATATAACGAAGCGCGATAGACGGATTGATAACTCTACTTGCGATATACACTTAAGAGTCTATTAATCATGCAACGATATAGTAAACATACTAATATGGGCAATTGCATTCCGAAGTTTCATCTTGATGATATCTTGATTATTACATTCCGCTCTTCTACGCCCTAAAAGAACAATAAAAAATCAAAATTATCAAATGAAAAATTATAGTTTGAATGTTAGGTATGGCGTTGCTGATTATGGAGACTTATTGATAGCGGTGACTATTAGCTAGCATGCCTTTTTATGAAAGCAAATCAAATTAACGCTAGACACTCAGTGAAAGAACTATTCTCAACGAAATAATAAATAATTAACATACTCAACTGAGAGACTAAAAAATTGGTCAGACAAAATTTATTTCCCTATGATTAAACTTTACTACTTACTGGTCTCTGACTTTACGGTACTTTCAGAAGTGAACGAATCAGGCCACTCCTGAATTGATGGCTGTGGAGGAGGTACTGGCGCAGAGTTATAACTTCCGGTAGACAAATCATACAAAGTAGGACTTGCTGATGTACCCAGAACAAGTTCATCTTCAGAGTCTGCTGTTGTTGTTGTTGTACGTCTAGGTGGAAGGCCTTCGAGGTCAGCCACTATTATCGTGTATCTTGTATCGGCTGCGAAATCCAGGCCAGCCTCCATCATCGTTTTGTTCTTCATTTCGTTTAATAGGATCTAATAAGCAGAGCAACGTGAATTAAAATGAACAAGAATATCTATAATTTAAAATTAATGCAACTAATACTAACCACTTTGCTTCTTGAGGTTTGGAGCACCAATTCAAAGGTATCAGGATCATAAGAATAGTGACCCGCCACATGTTTGAAGATTTCTGTGACTGTTGTAGATGGACGTATCGGAACAGTTGTCTTTGGCTGTGAACCGCGACTTAAATCGCGAATTACGCAGTCAACGCTATCATCACCAGCTACACAAACCATGTTCTGTAATAACATTAAAAAAATATGAAAAATGTATCGACTGCGGAACACTTCCTACTCATATAATAGCAACCAATAAATCTTTATGTCAGAAGGATAAATCTGCGAGACTCGACCGAGTCAATTCATGCTAGAGTAATAAATGGTTATGTAGCTGAACAAGAGTGCAGTTTGATAACTGTGGCAAATCAGTAACTTGTATTATATACAACTGTAATAAAATCGTATACGTTAATATTGAGAAACTGTACGTCGTTGTCCTTTAGTTACAGAACAGTTGAGAGGAACACATCTTAGCTAAGACATGTATTTTTTACGTCTATTTCTATACGCGATACATTGTACGGGTCGCGCATAGCACCGGTACCAACTGTCTCACAAGATTTTTACACCAAAACACCTTGCGACTCTTTTAGAAAAAGATTATATATTCTTTGATTAAAATAATGCATACTGTATCAGATTCTTGGTAAAAATGTCCCTTGAAGAGATTTTACTGAACGATACTCTTGGATTTAAAGAAACGCCGTCTTTCGGATTAAATATAGAAATAAGGAAGGAGTGAGAGTGATCAAAATTGGAAGGTGAACATCACACCGAGACACATCACTAAAAAATCACAGTTGTTGATGGAGCCTGAAGAAATGATCTCTGGAGCGTTGTGAATATAAGTAACAACGTACAATCTGTGCAAGCGATTAGAAAAACTTATTAGCAGTTTTCAGGCAGTTGAAATTTGGCAATAAGCCATGGTGAAGGTAGAAAATGAGTGAGATCTACGCAATGAAGCGGGATGCCGCTCTGCACGGCACGACACACTGCGGAAAGCATATAGAGCCTGTGGTTATATTTAGCCAGTCTAAACCAAGACATGGAAAATGGCTCTCTTCTCTCTGAGATCACATCCCTTCTCTTCTTCTAGACATTATGCGACGATTCGCCCTGACGTATATATTCTTATATCGGTGGAGCGTTTATATTGTTACTAGAAATACTTCCACGACGATTAGCAACAGGTACTGGATCTACATGTATACTTACTAGTCCCACAAGGTCCTCCTGGAATACTGATTATTTTTAAATGTTAGCCCCTTTAAGAAATACGCGAATTAGTCTCTGTATAAATAACGTGATGAGTCTGTATATGATTATTGAACATGAGTTTTTTAATAATACGTAGTATCTTTTTATACCTATTACATGATCTGAATTCAGATTTATCTGAAATCTTGATGAATATAGTAGCTGAGAAGCTTCCTAGATATCTTATAAAGGTGCAAATGATCCATTTTATCAAAATTGTTATCACATAATGATTTCAACTGACACAATATACTTGCTATTATACTAAAATGTTATGCTATGTATGGATCATGACTGATAATACTAAATGAAAATTTTGTTATCATTACCATATTTTAGAAACTTAGGGTAGCATTTATAGAATTTTAAGTGTTTCATAATTACCTAATAATTTCTTCTGTTATTTGTATATCTTTTGGCTTGACAAAGGTTGATCAATTAAACCCAACTGGTATCTGAAAAACAAAATATTGATAAAAATTCTTATATTTGAAATAGATAGGAGATAATAAATCATATGAAATGCATTGAAGTATTATACCAATATATATATATAATAAATATTTTATATCATTTCAAAAGTCTCATAGCACTTAGAAAGAAAATACATATCATTGAAATGTATACCCTACAGTCATTGACGGTTTGTTTACCTAATAGCGAAATATTAAAATAAAACTATATCCTAAATTAGTCGTTATACTATGTATGTTAAAATGCATATTGTGAATATGTATACCACATATATGAAAATTTAGTAAAAAGGAATTAGCAAAGGATATGCTCCTGTAATATTGCTCATTTAAATTACAAATAATTAATATTGGTAAGTTGAAAAGAGGATCCCCTGAATAAATTGATATTCTACATCATTGATACTTCGTATATAAAAAATACTAATGGAATTATCAAAATAATAATAAATGTCATAACACCATGAAAGATCAAACTTTGTCCTTACCAAAGTACATATTATCATCTCTCAAAAGTGGACTGCATGGAATATTATTAAACCTTTCCCCCAAGTATTAAAGATACATAAACTGGATGCAATGGCTTGCTTTATTTAGTCAAAAAGCAATTCAAACACATGAATGAAACCTGAGGCCATACCACTCAGAGGATTGGAATGCGTTTCTGTGCCAGAAAAGGCAGGTTGCAAAGAGTCTTTGAAGCGCATCAAATACTCAGATACCTCTCGAAGGAAATTATTGATAAAAGGTAATGTTCTTAATGTCAAAGTTAAATATGGAATGACATTAAATAATGCTGATACGTTTTAAATGTTCAGAAAACATTTTGTTCGCAGATGTTTATGAAAAATCGGTGAAATGGCTGGCCGACTAGCGACGTCAGAATTTGCGAATCGCACGGCCGACTAGTCTCTACATAGAGGGATGAAAACTTGTGCGATATTCTAATAAAATCTCAGGGGATGATAGCTTGAAAAAATGGCTTAGTTTTCTGTAATAGATAACATTTTTATGGTGTCTAATGTTCGCTTACCGAATTCACTGACACATGTGTAACAATCACTTTACGCCATATTTCTCGTACGGCGCTCCTGCATCCAGGATAGCCAACTACAAAAATTTTCGCCGTTTTGTAACTGGTTTTACGCTTTTGGAAGCATAAAATAAAATACTAGACCACATATTTATTTTGTTATGCATTGTCTTATTTGAGAGAAAACAATAAGGAATGCGTGGAAAGTCCTGTGGATATATTGCTGAAAGATAAAGCATTTGGAATGATATTTTTAATTCATCGAAAACGGTAATACAAAAAAAAATATAAAGTAAATTTGAAATTAGACTGTCTAGATTCACGGCATCTTGTTTTCCCTTCATCTGCCTCGTGTGACTGAAAATTGGAGGCAGCGAGAAAAGAGAATAATACAGCATTATTTCGATTCTTGCTTTGTGTCGTTTGATCTAATATTGAAAATAGGATGTTTAAAAAATTTTGAAATAAATCCTCTCTTTTCAATAAAGTGAAATTTTCATTGTAACGTCAGAAACATCTTAAGAAAAGTAAAAATTAAGTTATTAAGAAGTTTTGATTGACAAATTTTTGAACAAGTCACTCACCTCATAATATTGATGTAATGAGGAAGCGTGCTTCTTTATTCATGTTTTTACAGAAACCATAAACAATGGAAAACATGGATTACAGTAAGTCTTTCTATTTTTCTTTAAACAGTCAATCTCAATGAACTGCTATTTGTATTTCATATTTGTTATTGAAATGGTTATTAAAATTTGTTAACACTATAGTGAAAGTTTAAAGTATATTTTTGTATTTACATGAAATTAAATATTTTAACCTACAAAAATGCCTCATGTATCTAGTTGTTTTAGATGACAATGAAGATGTTATAGACGAACAATGGGGACAACACAATGCAGATCCTGTAAATGATAATGTTAGTGACAATGAAGATAATGATTCTAATCCTGATGAAGCAGATGAAGGTCCAGAGAGGGGTAAGAAAATTTAACTGATTTTACTTTTTACAATTTACAATAGCAGTTTTCTTTTGCAGCTAAAAAACTTAAGGAGGAAGTAGTAGAAGAGATTGACTCTGGTCAGGCATGTCCTATATGCATGGATGTATGGAGTAATGGAGGAGAACATCGTTTATGTTGTTTACGCTGTGGTCATTTGTTTGGGCATAGTTGCATTTTACGCTGGTTGAAACAGGGCTGTACCTCTGGGACTCGCCGATGTCCACAGTGTAATCGAAAAGCTGCTATAAAAGATATTCGTGTATTATATGCTAAAAAATTATCAGCAGTCGATACCACAGAACTGGATAATTTGAAAACAGACTTGAACAATGTTACAGCAGAAAGAAATCGGCTTCAAATGGAACTGAGCAGGTTTAATCTGAGACAAAGCTTATATGATTCTCAATTAAAAAGCTTGAAAAGTCGAATTGCTGAGTTAGAAACTCAACAAACTGATTTAAATATACAATTAAAACAAGGATCGTCAAGAACATCAACAAGAAAGTTTCACTTGGAGCGCACATTAGATATTTGCAAGGAGAGCGAATGTCGCGTATTGGATTATAATGAATGGTTGAATTGTCTAGTAGTATCACAAAAATCTGCGAACTCCGTGTTTCCTGGTTACGGTGTAAAAAAAATTGACACCGAAAACTTTCAACCGCTGCAATTCATATTTCTACACTCACAACAAATAAGAGATGTTGCATTTCATTCCGTGCAGAAAGAAATACTCCTTAGCGTCGGTTTTGATAAATGCGCCAAGATAACAGATATACAAAATAATGTAGTGGTTCATACTTATCACACGGAATCCCAACTCTGGAGCTGCTGTTGGTCAGGAAACAGTTCGAACATTTTTATGGTGGGTGCACAAAATGGAACAATTACGAAGTTCGATACAAGACAAACCGGTAGTCCTGTAGAAATTGTTGAAAGTCCTAGAGACAGAACGCCCGTTGTTTCTTTAGCATCTATTCCGAGTTGTTCCCGTAGAACAGCATGTAGTGGCGGTTTCATAGCATGCCGATTGAATTCCTGTTATGGATACGAATACCGAGATGCGAAATACGAACATAAACAAATACATATTCAAGGTCCATTCATGTCTGTTCGTTACGATGAAAAGAACCATCATATTTTAATATCCTGTCGACCTAATGCAACGATTCCACATGCAAGACACGTTGTATGCACCATTCAAGCTGGAACCGAGAATGAAATTGCGTGCAATGTTATTTACGATTTTAATGGGGGTAGTTCGCAACAACTCCTCTCACGTCCCTGTCACGTTAACATTGATGACGATACTTATGTAGCAGCTCATCAAGAATCCACGAAGAGCATACCTTTATGGAGTGTATCCAAGGGAACCCAAGACTACAGCATTCCAGTCTCTGATCCAATAGTAGATCTCTGTTCCTTTGAAATTAAGCATAATATTTTTTTGGCAACTCTCGCCAAGAAAAAGCTTCGCATTTATAATTACGGATAAATATTCAGAGAAATTTAAAAGAAAAGAATTGTATACAAGTTTGAAAGTTTCTTATTACCTTACTGCTCCTTGGAGTGGAAATGAATGCATTTATTGTATGCACTTCGTATCCCTAGTTATGTAACGACTGATGTCTAAAAAGTTGTACAGCAATGCATTGCATAACTTAACATAAAGATTTATAAGTTTTACATGTTAAATACGCTGTACTTTTTGTACATATATCATCTCATGGATGTCTATAGCATGTCTGCAGGATATTGAGCTTTTATATAAAACATTTGGAGTATGCACTGTATGATTCAAAATATACACAAATATCTATTTAAGGAGACAGTGCGAATGAAATTATTCACGATGAAAATAAAATTACTTTATTAAGTGTACTAAGTCGAATAAAATCCTGGTGGTTATTTTTTACTAACAGATCAATCATTAATTAAGAATTAATTCCTATGAAAGTCAATTGGCTATTTCACACATAGTATAGAGGATAAGGAATGTTCATTATTACGACATGAAAAGCTAACATTGAAAAAGAATCGTTTATTAATATTCTCGAGATATTATTTTACATTAATTAAACCTTCAAACTGCATACGGATCCTAATCTTTGTCTGAAAAAGAGCTGCATCTCAGCATTCCATATTACGAGATAAAGTTTATCATTTTCATCCGTATTGCAAGTCCTACGTGGTGTGTCGGATCATATTATAGTGTGCCATCAGCAGAAATATCATTTATGAATTAAACTCCTTGAATAATATTCCATTCGATGCCATCGCAGATGAACACGAATTAGATTTATTTAGTTATTTGAACCATTCGTTATTTCTGCTGAATGCAACAATTCTCTTTCACTTAATGACACATCAACAACACAGCCTCCGTATAAATTACTAGAAATGCAAAAGGTGTCTTCAAGATACCTAAGAGAAAGATTTCACATCCAAGATTCCCTTCGCACACTTATGACAAAGTCGATTCTTAAGAGAGTTCTACTTTGCATAAAAAGATCACTTGCAAAATTGGTTTTCCTATTAATTCATTAAATATTAATCACCCAGAGTAAATATTTATATAGTTCATATTTAAATTATCAATAAAAATCACTTAAAATCCATTATGTAATTACTCGATCAAAGTCAAATTTCATCAATATAATTGTAAAGTGAGATCGTATTTTACATTACAATCATGTATCGAATCAGTACTCGCTTGAAGCCTATATAATACCAAGCTTTTTGGAGATGTTTATAAAGAAACGTGATTCGTGGTATGAAATCTTCCAAGGGTAACGGTAGTTCACTTCGTGAAATGTACGTATTCGAAGGCCAGGTTGTATTTAGTTTACATGAACAATAGCAATGGGTAAATGCAACTTATTTCCTGAGCCTGGAATGTAATCCACTAGCTTCGAACACGAAAGGTGTTGTGTTTAAGGAAATAAAGAGAGAGTAGGAGAAAGATACAAATGCGCATCTGTGTAACGATAAACAGGTGTAGCTCATCGGACATTATAAACCCAACACCGAAAATGTACAAAATTTAAATATTAACAATATAATGTTAAAGAGTACGTTTTGTTTTTTCTTTTTACAAGTGTGATTTACTACTAATTGAATTGTCATCTATTTTAGTAATGTACATTCCTTTAGTTCTAATCAAATGAGAGTTCCTCGATGGCTTACAGGTGGAGGGTATGTAAGAAAGAAACTAAAGAAATTAAATTAAAATTTTAATATAACTAGACTATCGACGGAATTGCATTAAAAAAAAATGAATTAATTTTCTCAAATAATCAGCGCTAGAAATAATCATTTTTAAAAGAAAGGAATTAAAGAAATTAGATTAAAATTTTCGTATAACTATAGACTATCGACGGATTTGCATCGAAAAAGAATGAATTGATTTCCTCAAATAATCATTTTTGAGACAACAATATTATATTGAGAATTCGTATTTCCTAGAAGATTGGAAATATGGAAGCGTAAGTATTCGCAATATGGATAAAATTCAAGCGCATGTATTTCACAGCTTCTACTTGAGACTAGGGCTGAAACTCTTCGCAACTTTGTTAATTCTTTTCTAAATGATTCGTTAGAATGACTGTATACTGATCGCCATGATCTTCCATATACTTTGTTCCGATAGGATTATAGGAATTAGGTAAAATTGTGATAACAGAATCTAATCATCGTTCTGTATTTGCCAACAGGCGGCTAGATGAGCTTCGATGAATTAAATAACTTTAATTTGATTTTATCAAACTCATCATCCTAAAAAGCTGTATTTCACAGAGTAATACCAACAAGATGATCAGGTAGATCCACGCGATAGTCCCGTAGGTATGAGAGATCATACAAATACACTTAAAATCGTGCTTCTTCACGCGTATGAAAATGCTTGAAGCGCACCATGTGTTCAAAAAAGCTCTTCCCCAGGTATAGTTATCGTATACCTACTAGTCGAATTTTAGCTTAAACACTTTTTATTAATTATCGTTTCTCATGCCTATTTTACAAGTTAAATGAACCACTATGCCGGTCGGGGAGCTCGGGAATGAATTCGCTTCAATAATTTACCGCATCGTTGGAATATTGTCGTAGTTACGGATCGTAGTGATTTTTGCTGTTTTTTTCATCGTATAGAAGCAACCGTAACATGGCGTTTTTCGCGTGTGATGTTCGTATATGGGATATTTGTTAATGAGAGAGGATCATGGGGATTCAGGATGGATCATGGATGATGGTTTTGCGTTGCGACGGGTGGATATGAGACGAGTCAAGATCTATCCAGTTATCACTAACTGAAGAGTTGCTCAGTGGCACGTTCCAAGTCCCAGTTGTATGAGGAAAGAGCAACTCTTGCATTGTGTTCCTCGACTCCCATATCCGTTAATCTTCTTATCTTGTCATCTAATTCAGGCATCTTTGCCGGTCCTAGAAATGCAAAAAATTCAAATACACTGTGGTGGTAATAGTATCTCTTATTTGTACTTTGTAAACTTCCAGGCTAATCTCGTGAACGCGAAGCCTTCTAGAGACTTTATATAGAAATAGTGCACACGTGTACGTACCGCCGGCGTATACGGACGTCCAGTGCTTGGCAGTTTGTCGAAACATATCGGGCTGTTCCTTGTACTGTTTAGCTACCACCGCGTCCTGGGGGTCATCGGGCTCGGCAGCAGAAAGGAGAGCTTGTAGAGAGAGTAGAACCGTACGGAGCGTCATCGCCGCCGCCCTTGAATATCGTAAGGAGTGATATTAATTGAGTCAGTTTATTGTGTAATAAGATTAGAAATACGTACCACTGGTCCTTCAATATGTCCAAGCAAATGGCACCTGTTACAGATGATATGTTGGGGTGCCATATTTTTGTTATGAAACGTACCTGGGGAAAAAACATTGAGTTCAGATGACGTGACTACTTGTGTCTAGATTGCTCTGGAGCGCATGGGCTTCTTATTATTATCAACAAGATATGTATATTGTTCTTGTGAATGGACTTTTTATAATATTAGAGTAGCAATGTTTTTCACACGGATGAAATACAACAAAATTATTAACTTACAAAGTGCTTACTTTAGGAGGGTTGAAAGGGTACGTCTCGGGTACTTTAATCTCGAGAACGAAATTTCCTCCTTCGTATGGCGTGTCCGGTGGCCCGGCGATTTCTCCCTTAAGCTCGGTGAAGCTATCATTTACCAATTCAACCTTAATCGCACACTTTGCAACCTATAATGACAAAGTTACGAAGTAATTAGTTGGTTTTGATTGTAATATACGCGCATATTTTGGTATGGAGACATTTTTTTCTTTCACGATAGGATAAACAAATGATAGACGATTGACGCGCGTAATCGTAGTTCTGTTGGAAATTTAAAATGTTGCTTTGTAGTCATTTTATTATTTTGATGCTTGTTTACTAGTTATTTTTCTTTGTGCAATTTACGTGATAAATTAAACTTTTCTCTCGTGACGATAATGTCTCTAATAAATAATAAAATTGCTAAACCATGTTTCCTTTTATCAGACGCGTTTCTTCCCCCCAGCAAATTTTAACTATTAAAATTATTAAGCAAGAACTGGAAATCGATTTAACCTCTGACATCCATGGATGATAACAAAATGGTTGAAATGCTCAACAACAATAATTCACAATAATTCTTATACGTAGTATTTGTACAAACTGTGACTATTCAACTGCTTGTGACAGAATTTGAGCATCCTTTTTGATAGGAATAAAAAAATAAAAGAAATGGACCCAACAAATTCCAAGGCTAATGGAGCTACCAAACTGTCACCTAAAGAAAAGACATGCAAAGAAAATGGTAAGTAACGAATGTAATCGTTGAGAAATACTTTTCAGCATCTTTTGAAATATTCATTCCACATACACTTTCATTACATATAAATCTAAATACTCATTTAAATTTAGTAAAAGTTTGGTTGTGACTCAGAAGAAATTTGTGACATACGAATATAAATATACTCCGTCATAAGGAATGAAGTAACTTTATTGTCAAAATGACTAAGTCATGAAGATTCATGTTTACAATATAGGCATCAATCTGCTGCATATAACATAATGTTAATTCTTCACCTATTGTTAACATATGTGGTACAAGCTTATTGCATACTTTTAAAGTGATTCTGGAATCGTAAAAAAAACTCTTTGTTCTAAAAGTTTCTTTTATAGAATTAATACTTACAGTTTGATAAAGAATAAAAGCATTTATGAAAGCTTTCACTAAGCACAGTGTAGAAGAGATCAGAGTAGATTTAATGATCAGATGTTGTTGTACATTGGTTTTTAAAATTAGGTCTCAAACTAGCCTCTTTTCGTTGTTTTTCAACGCAAAAGCTGTTATCATCTTTGGAGTCGAGCAAGTAGCTAAAGAGGGCACAGGGTGACAGTTGCGGCATTCGTACAACAGGTGATTGGAAACATTTCGCAATATAATTCATAACGCGTTAAGTGGTACATAAAAGTTTCTCGCAGAAAACGCGTGTTTTCCTGTCGGAAAAACACATTGCGTAATACGAAAAACGGTGTGTTAAAGAGATAAAATTGTCCAGAAAGGAGTGAAGAAAGGGCGTGAGTACTTAATGCCGCAAAGTGAACTGTCGTTGAACTCACCTCCTCGCTCTTTATAACCTCTTTGAATTCCCGTTGAATTCGCTGCGCCGCGATATTCGCCATGGCTTCCGAATTGGCAAAACGGTCAGCACACTGTCATCGTCATTCGAATAAATTAACGAGGCTCTTCACAAGAGCGTCGGCTGACCGCGCGTGCCTTGATGACGGTTGTGATTCCAAAAGAGTCTCCTTTTGGATTCCTCAGTGAAATCTGGTAACACCGCGGCCTCCGTAACCCCGTGCTGCTTCTTATACAAAATCAGCGCTCACGCTCACGTCCAATTTATCATTCAATCACCGCCGGCGCCACATTGATGGGAAAAGTTGACTGTCACCCGCTCTTCCACTCACTCTTTGAATTTTGTCTGAATTCACGTCGCAACTATTCTCAGCGCCATATTCGAATAACTGTATATAAATCACGTGCTCCATGAACAAAAATAATGGAAATTTGATGAATTTTCGATAAAATCAAAAGTTATGAACCAAATTTTATGAATTACTAAGTAATGGATTATATTTTTCATGGATCTTAAACATTCTAATCACTACTTACCAACCTCTCGAGATATATTTTCTCATTCTGTAACATGCTCATAGAAAGATTACAGTTTCTAATGGAAATGATGCCGAAATTACTTTCGCAATGTGCAATATCCCACAATGCACGTTTCTACTCTTGTTTTCTTCTTACTAAAAAATTAAAAAATTGTTCCTCCGATAAGAAACGCGTTTCGCGGTTCCGTGGGCGGAGCATTGGAATTCACGTGATATCCGCCTCTCAAAACGTAATCCCATTGGTCGAATTGAGTCTCGCTCGGTGGTTTCGGTTTTAGTGATGCCCGTCTCGCAGCCAGTGCGTGCCAAGAGTTTGTTACGCGCAAACTTGGAGAGATCTTGTGGCGGTTTATTGCAAAGCAGAATGCCGAACATCAAAGTCTTCAGCGGTACCTCGCATCCCGATCTGGCGCAGCGAATTGTCGACAGGCTCGGTATTGACATCGGCAAAGTTGTCACCAAGAAATTCAGCAACCTCGAAACATGGTAATCTTTCTACGTAACGCTACGACCACGCACGTTATTGTCAAGTCTGTCCTGCTATAATCAATCCTAACCATATATCACGTGGAAACGCAAATAATCCTCATTCATATATCCGATTTTAGTAGAATATTGAGACCTTTTCATTGAATTCTTTTCGACATTTTGTTTATTCTGACATCACTCAGGACCGACAGATAAACCCTTCGCGCAAGGCCGGTCCTTACCACGTCCCAACCTTGCCGCGTCGTTTAATTTTATCGACATATCAATTCATTAAGTTTAAAAAAAATCATTTTCTTCTCATTCTTGTTTTAAACACAAAAGTTATGAATATATATTTTCATGAATTTTACTTCAGAATGATTACGAGAAAACTTAACACGGCTATATATTATATACATGTTTTAGATATATATATCAGTATGAGAACTGTATTCTTTTCAATTATTTCGAATAATATTCGAGCATTAAGTACTTAGCGACTATTAAGCAGATTCGTCGTTCATATACAACGGCAAATTATGTATCTAAGATGCCAGTGTGTACCCATGTAGTCCTATTAGAGTATTAGAACCTTTCAATATAGTGTTATTATAACGACCTTGTATATGATTATGAGGCAGCATTTTCTACTCTGGCAATTTATTTTACCCATGGATAATTCTTTCAATGATTATTATTGATGGATATAATTTAATTCTAATGCCTGTTTTACAATTTCTTATTCCTGTTACTTATTTCACCTTTCTCGCATGCCACTAAAACCTTCTGTTTATCCATATCTGCAGCGTGGAAATTGGAGAGTCTGTTCGAGGAGAAGATGTATACATTATACAAAGTGGAAGTGGAGAAGTGAACGACAATCTGATGGAGCTACTAATTATGATCAACGCCTGTAAGATAGCATCTGCATCACGTGTCACTGCAGTCATTCCTTGTTTTCCTTATGCCAGGCAGGACAAGAAGGACAAGGTAGGGGATGTGAGGAAGCATTATCTATACCTTATTTTGCTATCTATTTATGTTCTATCGACGTGCCAGCATATATTGCCTTAACCACTCAGAGATAGATAGACCACAATCTTCTGTTGTAACAGTTTCTTTTGCTGAAAGCGTCGCACTTGATTACTATGATCTAAACATATTGCTTGTTGCAGTAGCACAAAATTCTATTCAGCATAACCAGACTAACTATTTGCAGTATCTTTGACAATCTTTAACTCGTTTACCTATTTTTAGTGTCTTGTCTATGTGGTGGAGGTTACGACTTTCCATTTTTTTTTTGTAATTTCGAAGGCACGGTCGATAAACTGCTGTAAAATAGCTAAAACTGTAGCAAATTCTACTTTTCATTCAATATCTCAGTAGTCACGCGTACCTACATATGACAATAAACATATACGTCAGTTTTGAAGCATTGAGCACCACTAACTATAATCGATGTGATATTCAGCTCTTATCACGGCCGATAAACCGTCTTGTCGCTGACATTTTTTTTCATCGAATTCTAACTCCGTTTCTTTGTCCCACTATATGCTTAGATTTGACAAACGATCATTAATCGTATTTTAAGATGAACGACATATTTGTACAATTGAATTGCATATACTTATAGACATTTATTAGCAATGCCAAGGAATTTTCTTTGATGTAGATCCAAAGGCTTAGAACTAGCAAAACTTTCATTGCAAGCTTGCAAAGTTGAAGCTGAGAACAGGAATGAGTATTAAATTACTGTTAGCACTTGCATCTGTGAGCAACATTCCATTTACAATTTTAATATATATATATATATGTGCAATTTTATGTTTTTCTAGTCTATGTCTTATTGTTAGTATAAAATTATTCGTACTTGATTGTTGTTACATAATGCAATGATGAAGTATGCTTATAAACCAAATTTAACATAAGGTACAACACTATGCGTAAATTTTGAGCAACGCGTTATATCGTTCAACATAATTGGGTTTCACGTGCCTTCGAATAAATTGTGTAGTATGTCCCAATTCAAGCAAACCAGTAAAATCTAAGAGTCCAATACCAATGCTCTCTAAGTAGACAAGGTTACGCGCAGATATTCAGCCACAACCTGTGCGACCACTTTTGTGTAGGTTGTCCTTCCCCACCTCCACAACCAGTCAGGTAGTACGAAGTCCTTCATTATAATTTCCTCTTTTCAGAGTCTGTACAGTAAAATCTATTCTTTGAATATACCCTTCGATAACTTCACTTTCTACCTTAAGTCCAAGCTACTTACAATTGTCCCTTTAGTTACATAGCAACGTGAAAATCTGTGAAAGTCTCTTTTTGACGAAGGTTTATCCACAAGGGATTTCCGTTCTACAGAAACAAAGAAAAAGTTGAGGCGAACTGTGCAACACCGCAAACTACTTCATCAGCTCCTTAGTCCATAGAATCTTTCTTGCTGGAATTTACATCAGTTTAAGTGTATTTTATTCTATTCCAAGTGCACGGTATCGCAAGCGACACCATTATCTCGTACGATTTGAGTAAACATCGTGCGCAAATGGGATTTCAAATCAGTTTCTCTGAATTTTGTAATTTTAATAAAAATACATATCACGTTTTATTTTGCGCACTTTGTCACTCTACGGATTATTTCTCATCCAGAGTCTCTCAAAGATTTAATAATTTCAATAAAATGTGTTCCAGAACCTTGAATTATGCAAAGATGCTAGTATTTCAAATCCTATTATATTAAATTGAGCATTATTTCTTGACAAGGAGCAGATACCTTGTAGATAAGATGTAAAGTTTTTTTTGTGGTATCTTCACAGGGAGGTCATGGTGGGGACAAATCAAACTCCACTATGACTCGCTTCGTCATGAAGTCGAACGACTGGAAGTTCACGGTAACTTGTTGCGGTTGATTTTCCGCACTTTTCACATTTCCATAGCTTTGCAACCATCCGAGGGGTGTAACGTAATAATGTTGGGAAAGGAGAATTCACAGGCCCGTCATCACGTAAAAAACAAGTGCTTGTATCTTTTTCAGCTTGTCATTGAAGACTGCACTGTGCGCCATTACATTACTAAGCATATCAGGAGGGAAAGAAAAATACCGAGAAGATAAAAAGAGAGAAAATGACTAGAAAATGATCAATCACTAAAGGCCTCTCCTCGATGGATATCATTAATTATCATTAATATTACAATTTGAATCGAAGAAATACACAAGTTAACATAATGTATCAACATTTCCAAATCCCATCTGGTGTCATTTGTACGTATAACAGAAATTAATCGTTATTGTGACAAAGAAAAATCTCACTTGTATATATGAAAGTTCATTTTAATGATTTATTTGACAAGTACTAAAACCATAACATTATTAAATACGCGTAATACTTGGCGGATACACGTGTATCATCTTATTTTAAATTGTTAGCTATCATCATGATCCGCACATACACCAATCACAGAGGAGAGAAGCCGTAAAAGCAGAACATTTTTTATGAATGGCAGAAAGCTTGCGTTACGTCGATTATATATAAATGGGTCGCTTAATCGCAATACGCTTGTTTGCACCAAGGTTTTACACCTGGTCTTCATATCGCAAAGTAACACAACATAACTGGCTATTAACGGTGACAACATTCACTTTGAGATCCAAGTGGAAAGGAATTGCTAGTTGGCTGTTACTAACTTGATTCAGCTGTCTTGGCAGATATAATCGCTCTCTCTTTCTCTCTCTCTCTCTCTCTCTCTCTCT